GAATGAAACAGCTTAATTCCCTCCTCTCACAGATAGTGTCACTCTCAGCTGTCACTTTCAGCTGTCACTTTCAGGCGTCACTCTCAAGTTTCACTCCCAATGTGTCAACCTCAAGTTCTCATTGCTGACACTATCGCTTGCAGAAAGCAAATCGTCTGCCAGCGTGGACTCTGGGGATCCACCACTCTCTCTCTCTAGCTGGATAGTTAGTCATTCTGTGGTTTAGTCGTAATGACTTGGTTCATTCTCCTGATAGTCCTATTCCCCTTCCCTGTGGTTAGTGGGAAATTGTCTAACATTCTATGAATGTCATAAATGTCTAGCAATCAACAAGAACTTAATCTAATGTCTTTAGCAACTAAGACATTCATTCGACTATCAGTGACTCTTTTCCTCTGTGTTATTGCCTTCAATTGCAAGCGAGCTGTCTGGGGTTCGCAGTACATAATTCCTCAGTGGGTGTAAAATAGGCGGAAAATGAGATTGGGAAAGTGGTGGAGCCTCAGATTGCGTTCTTGCAGGTAGGAGGTTCTCCTAGCCAAGGGACTAGACGGATTTAATGGTTCCCACGTTAGAGTTGTTTACTGTTTACGAGTCACAGACGTGATGTTTGAAAGCTACTCTAGGAACCTTACTGGTTCCCCAAGTAAGGAATAAAAGGTGAGGTGAGTAGCAGTAAAACCAACCTCACTTGTCTCCTTCCTATCGTGGGCGCAATGGTGGAGAAAAAGAGAGAGAAAGAGAGAGAGAGAGAGAGGTAGATAGACAGAGAGAGAGAGAAGAAGAGAGAAGCAGCAAGACAAACAGTCCTATCAATAAAAACATAAAAAAATTATTAACTAGTTGAAAAAAAATACAAAAAAGATTATATTATTACCAACGATTATCCAGAACAAAAAATACAATATTTTAGCCAATATAACATAATCCCCAGAACTGATCCACACAAAGCTGTAATAACAGGGCAAATTTTAACACGGCAAAGGGATCACGCTGGCCCGGAGAAATATCAGATTGAATTTCAGTGGTATGTCAAACTCCGGTGGTATTCAGTGGTGGGTAGAATTCAGGGGCATATAGAAATTCTGTGGCATGTAGAAATTCAGTGGTATGTATACTGTCGTGTTTGTTTATGACTGATGTGAATTGTTTTTATCGAAAGTGAAAGTGTATATATTCGACTGTTCTGTCTGTCTGTCTGTCTGTCTGTCTGTCTATCTTGTTTTCTTGTTCTCACTGATTTAGTTACCTTTTTTCACCTTATTTCTTTCACTCTAAATCCATCTCTTTTTTTTATGAATACATTCGTTCGTCTGCTTTTTTGTTCTCTCTCTCTCTTTGTCTCTCTGTCTCTGTCTCTCTCTCTCTCTCTCTCTCTCTGTCTCTGTCTCTGTCTCTGTCTCTCTCTCTCTCTCTCTCTCTCTCTCTCTCTCTTCTCTCTCTCTCTCTCTTCATTTCTTCTTCTCATTTATTTATCTTTCATCAAATAAATGCACACTTGTGTATTCAGGGAGGCGCTTCTCGGTGTTATAAAGAATTGTTGAATATTTAAATTAAAGTTGCAAGAACTAAAACTTAATTTGTTTAAGTTAATGCTTGACTTTGGAACATTGTATTGCAACGTAAAGTTATAAATATTAAATATAGACGAAACATTCATCTCTCTCTCTCTCTCTCTCTCTCTCTCTCTCTCTCTCTCTCTCTCTCTCTCTCTCTCTCTCTCTCTCTCTCTCTCTCTCTCTCTCTCTCTCAAATCCACTCCGTTACAGGTATGGACATAAGCATTCTAATTTCACATGTCCCTAAATTAAACAGAATTAAGTAAAACCAAATTGAACATGGTAAACAAGCAGGAAACTGTCATACTTCCCTCCAAACCTCCAGTACAGAGTTCTGACAGACACAGACCACAACACAACCTCTTCCCTACACACCAGAGACGCTCAGATAACTCCGACTGAATATGCTTTTATTCAGATAATTTCTCGTCATGACTCTTCGGCTAATCAGAATGCCTGGCTCAGTGGTCATTCAGGGAGCTAGGTCCACTGGCTACATAGAGATTTTGGCTCAAGGCCAATCAGAGAACTCACTGACCAGTCTGAGAGCTTGGTTCATTGGCCACTCTGAGCGGTTGGCTCACTGGCCAATCTGGGCGCTTGGCTCGCCGAACAATCAGAGATCTGGCTCACTCATGGGCACTCATGTTAAGTGGGATGGGAGGTGGAGTGGCAGAGGGATGGGAGGAGGGGTGGCAGAGGGATGGGAAGTGAGGTGGCTGGGCTTGGAGTCGGTGTTGTGTAGGATTACCCAAATGCACACTCGTTTCAACTGGCTATTTCTGGAGATGGATTCCCTCCCACTTAGAGTGGAACATGGGAATGGTACTACAAAAGTGTACATAGTGGTGTGATGGGGGTTGGATACAATACAAGTATATATATATATATATATATATATATATATATATATATATATATAACCTACGCTTGAAACAATCCAACAACCCAACTTCTGTTACGTTCCCTAATATTCTGTTCCAATAATTGCCAACAGTATTCCCAAAGAAGTAGCTATTCAGGTTTTCTAAGTCTAAGCTCATCCAATATGTATCTTCCTGCGTTAATTCAAATGATCACAAATTTCTCAACATGGTGGAAATTATATATATATATATATATATATATATATATATATATATATATATATATATATATATATATATATAATAAAGAAAACTTTCTTTTTGAGTTGCAAAAGTGAGAAAGTATTGATTGGGGATCCGCAAGTCTCTGGACCCGTTACTGGAGCGGAATTAATATGTATCCGTGAACGGAGTTCTTTAGAAATTAATTACAAACTTCGGGGAGGGGAGAGTTAGTGATCAGAATGAAATATTAATAAGAATAAATATTAATTTGCTTACTGATTTAGAAAGGCTTGATCCGTTTTTCTTGTTATTAATTAGATTGTGTAAACGGTGTTGCCCTGTTCATCTCAAAAGGTTTTCGGCATTTAAATGTTGTCACTCACGGTTGATCTTTGGGGTTAATTGTGTTAAATGTCCATGAAACCGATCCCAATCCGCCTGTCATAGTACCTTGCCATCCGTCAGTCACCCTGCAAAGTTGTGTGAGGCTATTTCAGGCGTCTAGCCTCTAGTCTTGGACAGCAAACTATTGAAAAAGTGAATGGTGTTATTCGTGGGATTCTATGGCGGAATTAACTTGAATTGATTTGGTAATTTATTCGTGGTTGTTACTCTCCATCTAATTCCCTTGTTTATGTTTTTTTTTTAGCCTGATTCATGTTTAATTCTCTTTTTCTCCCTGATCTCTAACTCTCTCTCTCTCTCTCTCTCTCTCTCTCTCTCTCTCTCTCTCTCTCTCTCTCTCTCTCTCTCTCTCTCTCTCTCTCTCTCTCTCTCTTACTTTTCTTCTGATTCCGACTGGTAGGGAGTGAAGGGTAGACTGGGAGTATTGGACTTGGTTGGAAGGAAGTTTGGTGAAGGGGTATGGTAAGGGAGTTCGATTGGATGGGAGGAACTATGTTGTAGTGGGATGAATCTTCTATTTAACATAAACATTAGTTTCAAAGAGATCATTTGCAATAAATAGAAAACAAGAAAATTAACATTATGTGTACGTCTCTCAGTCAATCAATTGAGGCAAATGAACAAATTAGCCAATCAATCATTTGGTCAATTACTCCTCAATTAACAAAGTAATAAAGGAGTTAATCAATCAAATATTCAGTTTGCAAATTCCTAAAGGAATATGGCTAAATAAGCCACTAAGTCCATTTTCCTACGAAAATTATCTCTGAAATTTTCCGGTAATCAAACCATTAATAACCAATCAAGAATCTGAGAGAAAAAAACATGCTAAATTATTGCTGGAACGATTCATTCATCTGATGCTAACCTAAACGACCAGATTTCCAGCCATTCCCGCTTCAGTAGTGTGTCTGGATTTTCCAGGTTCGCCAACCAGCTGTCATATCTCTAATCACCCTCGTGACAGTTAGAAGTGGACACGAAACAGACTGATAGACAGACAGATAGACAGACACACATACCCGTGGTGGCATTGTTAAAATTTCATGGTGATTGGTCTATCACAATTTTACCGGCTGGAACTGTTCCCGGTACTGTTTGTGGGGAGAGGACAGATCTCTTTCCAATAAAGTCTATTAAAACTGAGTAAATTTATATTCTGTGCACTTTACTTTGGCATTTTATTTCTTGTTGGGCACTGTTTTGAGGATTTTAGAAGATCAGATATTTAGTGCAACTATTATTATCAGTATTATATATTTTATATTTATATATATTACGTAGATAAGATTATATATTATGTTATAGATTATATAATATAATATTATATATAATATAATATTATTAATAATATAATATAATATATATATTATATAATATAATATTATATTACATAATATATTATATATTATATAAGATTATAGATTATATTATATATTTATATATATTACGTAGATAAGATTATTATTACTATTATTATTATTATTATTGAGAAAATCAGTAGGAGCTGTAAGGAGTATTCGAACCTTTGCTCCGGGTACTCCCAAGCACTCGCCTTAGACCACTACCCCACGACATGGTAAAAAAATCACTGCAACCTGGAATCCCACTGAACCCTCTAGGGTTTCTGAGGCTTCATCTTATGCCACGGTCAACTTGACTGCGTGGTGGTGGTATAGTGATCTCAGACGTACGCTTGGGAGTATACCTAGAGGTTCGAATCCCACTCACGGCTCCTAATGACTAATCTCCTTGACACTTTAAGTTAATATGATTTCTTTGTGTGTTCCTAATAGTAGTAGGCTTGGAGTTAGTATTGCGCTCTGGTTGTCGGTCTGGAGTAGCCTCTCCAAGGCGCAAAGCCAGGGGTAGGTTGGAGAAGCTGTTACCCATGCAGCAGGTCCTAGTAGCGTCGTGATTATAATGGTTATACTCTTTCCTACAGTGCGACACGGCGGTGGGAACGAAGTCCTTCTTCGACATGATGTACAAGGAGCCTCGCAAGGTCATGCTCTTCGGCGCCGCCTGCACCCACGTCACCAACCCCATCGCTAAGGCGGCTAAACACTGGCACATTGTGCAGGTGAGTACAGCTTCACTACAGCCTTCTACTCATTACAGCTTCACTACAGTCGTCTACTTATTATAGCTTCACTACAATCGTCTACTTATTACAGCTTCACTACAGTCGTCTGCATATTACAGCTTCACTACAATCGTCTACTCATTACAGCTTCACTACAATCGTCTACTTATTGCAGCTTCACTACAATCATCTACTCATTACAGCTTCACAACCACCATCTATTAATTACAGTTTCAACAGAGAGATACAAAAAATGGTAGCACGGTCTCGCTTCATGCAGGCCGGCGTTCAATCCCCGACGGTCCACAAGTGGTTGGGCACCATTCCTCTCCCCCCGTCCCATCTGAAATCCTTATCCTGATCCCTCTTCCCAGTGCTATATAGTCGTAATGGCTTGGCACTTTCCCCTGATCGTTCCCTCTCCCCCCTTAAAGTGCTTTTCCAGGGTTAAAATACCCTGAAGGAAAGGAAAATTTTAGTTTACAGTTCAGAGATACGAATATATAGCTAGATAGGAATAATAGATAGCTAGCAAGAAATAATAGATAACTAGGGAGAAATAATGGACAACTAGGGAAAAATAATAGACAACTAGGGAGACGTAGGGCCAGACCCTCAGACGACACTGTGGGTACTCAGACGAGACTCTGGGCACTGAGACGAGACTCTGGGCACTGAGACGAGACTCTGGGCACTCAGACGAGACTCTGGGCACTCAGACGAGACTCTGGGCACTCAGACGAGACTCTAAGCACTCCGACGAGACTCTGTGCACTCAGACGAGTCTCTGGGCACTCAGACGAGACTCTGGGCACTCAGACGAGACTCTGGGCACTCAGACGAGACTCTGGGCACTCAGACGAGACTCTGGGAATTCAGACGAGACTCTAAGCACTCAGACGAGACTCTGGGCACTCAGACGAGACTCTAAGCACTCAGACGAGACTTTGGGCACTCAGACGAGACTCTGGGCACTCAGACGAGACTCTGGGCACTCAGACGAGACTCTGTGCACTCAGACGAGTCTCTGGGCACTCAGACGAGACTCTGGGCACTCAGACGAGACTCTGGGCACTCAGACGAGACTCTGGGCACTCAGACGAGACTCTGGGAATTCAGACGAGACTCTAAGCACTCAGACGAGACTCTGGGCACTCAGACGAGACTCTAAGCACTCAGACGAGACTTTGGGCACTCAGACGAGACTCTGGGCACTCAGACGAGACTCTGGGCACTCAGACGAGACTCTGGGCCCTCAGACGAGACTCTGGGCACTCAGACGAGACTCTGGGCACTAAGACGAGTCTCTGGGCACTCAGACGAGACTCTGGGCGCTCAGACGAAACTCTGGGCACTCAGACGAGACTCTGGGCGCTCAGACGAGACTCTGGGCACTCAGACGAGACTCTGGGCATTCAGACGAGACTCTAAGCACTCAGACGAGACTCTAGTCACTCGGACAAGACTCTGGTCACTCAGACAAGACTCTGGGCACTCAAGCAAGATTCTAGACATTATAGTAAGACTTTAGGCCCTGAGACAAGTCTGTAAGCAAGGTTCATTTATGGGGCTAATTTACATTGATGTAAATATATCGGCTTGGCTGATTGGGGTTATTTAGGCAAAAAATCTTCCCGGATGTGCGTGTACGGAGGGTCATAATATCCGATTTATAAAGGGTAATTTACATCGTGTATCTGACAGCGTGTAGTTTACATAATGCAGTTTACACAGTGTATTATCTGATGGTCATGGAACACTTCTTTCTTGAGGTTATCTTGAGATGATTTCGGGGCTTTTTTAGTGTCCCCGCGGCCCGGTCCTCGACCAGGCCTCCACCCCCAGGAAGCAGCCCGTGACAGCTGACTAACACCAAGGTACCTATTTTACTGCTAGGTAACAGGGGCATAGGGTGAAAGAAACTCTGCCCATTGTTTCTCGCCGGCGCCTGGGATAGAACCCAGGACCACAGGATCACAAGTCCAGCGTGCTGTCCGCTCGGCCGACCGGCTCCCTCGCTCGGCCGACCGGCTCCCTTCAATATGGCTCGGGTTAAAAATCCACGTTAAGGGATCTATTATGTCAAGTATGACTGGAATGTGTTCTGATGAAGAGCTTTGTTGATGGGAGTGAACACGTGATGTCTTAACGTGATGTTCTATTGTGGTATAAGGCACGTGATGCTCTGTTGTATATGGTACGTAATGATCTACTGTATAAGGCACGTGATGCTCTATTGTGGTATAAGGCACGTGAGGCTCTATTGTATATGGTACGTGATGCTCTATTGTATATGGTACGTAATGATCTACTGTATAAGGCACGTAATGCTCTGTTATAAGGTACGTAATGATCTATTGTATAAAGTACGTAATGCTCTATTGTGGTATAAGGCACGTAATGGTCTATTATATAAGGTACGTAATGCTCTGTTGTATAAAGTACGTAATGCTCTATTGTATAAGGTACGTAATGCTCTATTGTATAAGGTACGTAATGATCTATTGTATAAGGAACGTAATGATCTATTGTATAAGGCATGTAATGCTGTATTGTATAAGGTACGTATTGATCTATTGTATAAGGTACGTAATGCTCTATTGTATAAGGTACGTAATGCTCTATTGTATTATAAGGCACGTAATGCTCTGTTATGTTATAAAGCACGTAACAGCTAGGTTAATGGGAGTCAGCTACAAATATCTAAATTTAACAGCTTGTTAATAAGGTTAGTTAGGCATATCCTCATGTAACAACCAAGCTGATAGGGAAAGCTTAAGCTAAATGTATAATTTATCACTTGATTATAGTCGAATTAAATATGTAATGGCGAACCAATTATACTTCTCTGTGTATCACGCTTCAATAAATTCACCTAATATAGATGAAACGATTTACTGGCCGAGTTAACAAGCACGATTGGTCTTGGATAACAGTTAACTAATTACGGATTACAGTAATAATGATAACTGAATTTATATTTAGGGTATTTAAGTTAATATGGTTAATCAAGAGGATTGTGTATTGGAAGTTTCTTCGTGATTAATGTTGGCTGATGATAATGAAAAGAAAGTTGTGGGGGACCCAGAGGGTGGAAATCACAACACAAGACGTTCAGCCATTAAGAAACTCATGCTGGCTCCACTATTCTCAAGAACTTCCCTCCATCAGCGATGATTCATCTCTTGGATGACTTCCATTTGCAACACGTTTGCTCAACATGCAACTACACGTGAAATGAAGACAGTTGACCAGATGGAGGCTTCGCCACACAGCTGGCTACAGGTTCATTATGTTCACTACTTGATTGTTACTTAGAATTATGTTTTAGTTACTTATAATGGAGAAATAGAATGGCTCAATACAAATTTGTTTCTAGGGACAGGCTTCATATGGGTTGATGTAGGATGTAGATGTAGGCTTTTGGCTTGCAGGTCCATTAGAGAGAGAGAGAGAGAGAGAGAGAGAGAGAGAGAGAGAGAGAGAGAGAGAGAGAGAGAGAGAGAGAGAGAGAGAGAGAGAGAGAGAGAGAGAGAGACAGACAGACAGACAGACAGACAGACAGACAGACAGACAGACAAAGAGGGGAAAAGATCCAGACAATCGAAAATGGCCGATAAATAAAGTTCCAATATTTTTATCCAATAAAGTCTTCCAACAAAACAGACGTGTCCTGGGCAAAGAAATCCAGGGCTATTTATTTATCGCATAAATCCATAAATCCAGAGAAAATTGCCCAGACTTCTCTGTGGCCAAAAATTACAAATGCTGAATGGGCAACTCCTTGAACGTACGAGCGTGTTTTTTACTATAAATCTAAGGACTATAGTCCTTGCTGCATCTATCCACTTGTGTCTGTTTCTCACTCCCGCTGTCTGACTGTCTGTCTCTCTTGTCGTCTTGTCTGTCTATCGGTCTTTTTGTTGCTAGTTTTGACAGAATTCCTTCCGCAGCTTCTGCCCCCTGTTTATCTATCACTAACTCTAAAATTACCTTTCCATCTCTAATTTCAAAATAAACTTGATGAATCCAAAGGAAATTCAAGCTTATCATATTTAGCGTCACGACCAAACAGAAAAAGTGTGTGACAATGTAACTTCCCGCGTAAAAGAAAAACAAAATATTATAAAATTTGGCGGGAAATTTGGGTTGTAAACAAACAGAAAATATTACATCATGCTGAGGAGATACGACTGGAGGTGACAAGTTTGGCTAATTACCTCCCTGTCGCATGACGGGCTTTATTAGTCAGGTGTTGGAACCAGTAGGAGAGAGAGAGAGAGAGAGAGAGAGAGAGAGAGAGAGAGAGAGAGAGAGAGAGAGAGAGAGAGAGAGAGAGAGAGAGAGATAGATTCCCAATGAACCCATTAACAAGTGAATAAATAGTACTCGAACCTATTTTCCACTCAGAGTCAAAAGTTAAAAAAAACAGACAAATACTAACGTTAATATGTCTGGCGTGAAGAGAACGAAGCCCTGTTTCGAGGCATAGATTCGAACAGAGTCAGATTGACACATTCGACCTATCAGACCGAGGTGTTCCATATTTTCTTCTTACACGGCGCTAACTTAACCATGCATAAGTCAACGCTACATAATAATATTAGATTATATTTGAGAAAAAATACCAATTATCGTACCCTATAAAATATTCATCCTGTCAGTTGTCTGTTGTCAGTTGTCTGCTGTCAGTTGATTGCTGTCAGTTGATTGCTGTATACACCAAATACTGACTTAATAAAGTCTACTTAAGTCAGTATTTTATTAATAGCTTGACTGATCAATTCACTCTCTCTGTCGACTGATTAACTCTTTTTAAGGAGAAAATAATATTGCTAGAATCACAGATGGTTTTTGGTAAAAATTCTTCCCAGACAACTATTTAAGGACCAAAAGCCACATTGTGTCATTGTAACACTACACTACACTACACAGTGTCTGGGATGCTCCCGGACGCAGGTTCGAATCCTCGTCACGGCCCTTGTGGATTTGTGTCA